ATCAGCGCGGGGAGGGGGTTAGGAGAGGCCAGGAAGCCCAGTGGAAGGGACAGTGGGGGTGGGGGTAGGGGCAGCAAGGGGGGGAAGGCAGCAGGGGGCATGAAATGACCTCCCTTGGTCCAGAAAAATCCCTCATCCGGGACCAATCAGGTCCTGAGCGTGCCGGACCAGGGAGGTCCAACCTGTAGTAATGTTTGTACTAACTTTAGCAAGATAAGTTTAGGCCCTTAGAAAAGCGTCTGCCAAGCCTGAAACAGCATTACTGAAACAAGATTATCCTACTATTGCTAGTTACCAATCATATTTTGCATTTGTTCAGCTAATGTCTGTCTATCTGCTATTTCTTCACTCATTGCATCAACTTTCAAAAAAATACTTTCCTTATCTGACCATACACTAGCCAAAAATCTGAAATTTTGCTATCGAGACAAGACAATTCAAACAATATTAAGATTTCCTAAATCTGAAAACAGTTTTAAGCAAGTTGACTCCTTGGCAGGGCAAGACTTTTAGAATTTTTATCTATTTTATCTATGTTGATTTCACCATATACACACCGATGCAAAGTATTTCCATCAATGGTAAGTGAAATATACTGTAGGCAAATTGAGAACAAGGGTATTTGAGAACTTATATACTTTGATTTAAGGATATTGTCTTTGTATATTTTAACATTACTATAAAGCTTTAACATTTTTAATATGTCATTAAATAATTAATAAAAACTGAACAAATGTTTAAATAAACATGCATTGATATTGTCCACTGAATTTATTTTAAAAATTTAATTCTGGCAACCCTAAAAGATCCTCACTTCTTTACATTTAAGTCATTTAATTTGATCCTGGTTTTAGAAAACGTGTGAAATACAAAAACATGCATAGGAAAATTTAAAATGGTGGGCAGCTGGCACATAGTACCCACCTGTGTCTGTTGTGGAGAGGACAGAGGACTTTTGAATGCTTTAGCCATTATGCGTTTGATCTCCACTCCAGTGCTGTTTTTAACACACATTGACTTATCCCACTGAATTGCATGATCCGGCTCTATTGGGTTTAGCCAAGCCAGCTCATCCTCACAAATATGGAGTGGAGGTGGTGGACGGATAAACTCTGGTCGAAAGTGACCTAAAAGACAAAATTGTAAAGATTTCTTTCAAAGTAAAAGTAAAGAGGTAATGTTCTTTTTGTATAACTCAGTGAAAATTTTAAATGTAGAAGGCTACTATATAGTATATTTAATATCATGGTGACGACAACAGTCTGATCAGTGGTCCTCTCTCCCCACCCATAACTGTAATACTTTCAATGTACAGTCAAGTTTTGTACTCTGATGTGTGAGCTTTGTCACATACAATCCAATCTAGAGGAAAATATGTCACTCCTTAAGTAATTGTGTCAAAGATTACAGAAATTTAACATACTACAAAGATGCACATACTTTCTATAGGTGGTTTTGGTCCACTCACTAAAGCCTCAGTGATCTGTGATGCAACGGAGCTGTCGAAACCAGAATTTGAGGAATCTGGATCAGGATCGCTGAGAATGCTAGGGAAGCTAGCTTTGCTCTGTGTTGGCAATTCAGACTGACGCTCTGAAAAAAAAATTCAGTCATGATATTAAAGCATACAACCAAAATACACTTCAGGAACACTGAAAGTAGCAAGAGACAATCTGAGTTTTAGAACAGCATTGATTTGAGAGCGAGAGAGTATCAACATGAAATCTAATTCAGGTTTGTAAGTGGTGGGCCATGGAGCATTTGCTAGTGGTGTGCAAAGAACTGATTGGTCACATGGTGTTGGCTCTCCTTCATTCCACTTCCTAAAACTGCATTATGTAACTAAAAATACTAACACTTTCCCATTATTACTTTTCCATGTAAATATAAATGTCTGTATTTGTTACAATGGTCTAGGGATGTAATAGTGTAGTCCGGGGTTCTCAAACTTCGTGATACCATGACCCCCCTCTAAGTTGCTTGTGATCCCCCTCAAAATTGCTGCAACCCACCTCTAAGTTGCTTGCAACCCCCCAGGGGGGTCAGGACCCACAGTTTCAGAAACGCGGTTGTAGTCGATTAACTGATAAGCAAGAACGTATCAATTAATGCTATAGACTACACGCATTTCTCCCTCTCCCTCACCCCCCAGCCCTTGCTAGTAAATTTATTAGCAGGCTGGCCAGCAGCCCAGCTCACTCCTGGCTTGCACTGGGTCCAGGACCCTCTGTGGCTCTGCATTTCAAGTATATTAGAAACCAGGTGGGCAGGCAGCCCAGCTCAGTTTCAGCTTGCGTTGCATCTGGAGCTCAGACCGTCCCGCTGGACGGGCTGCTTTCACCCTATGCAGCAGCCGGTACACAGGGGGAGCTCGTTTTTAAACTGGCTCCCCTCATGGACCAGCTCCTGTCTGGCATCCCATCCTGTTGCGTCCCGGCTACAGAGGCAGCAGTGCAGAGTGGCAGGGGGCTCCTTGGGAGTGGGGCCAGAGCGCACTGACTGCACCCCCAGGGATTATAGAATAGTTGAATAATTGATAAGATTTCATGAGGTTAATTGACTGTTCAATTAACCAATATTTAACATCCCTACAAGGGTCCCCTGCCACCTGCCTCCTAGCCCAAAGCTCCTCCCCACTGCTGACTCCACTTCCGGCCCTGGGCAGCTTCCTGCCTCCAGCCTACTGTACTGCTGGCCCTGGCCAGGCTTACTGGACACCACCCCCATCCATCCGGGGCGCCCAGTCGTGCCGCCACTCCCTCACTCACCCATATCATGTGGCTTTCTGGTCCAGGAACATGTCAGACCTGAGAGTCCTGGTTTAGGGGAGGTACAACCTCATAGACTCATAGACTTTAAGGTCAGAAGGGACCATTATGATCATCTAGTCTGACCCCCTGCACAGTACAGGCCACAGAATCTCACCCACCCCTCCCAGAATAATCCTCTCACCTGTATCTCAGATATTGAAGCCTTCAAATACTTTGAAGACCCCAAGATGCAGAGATCCTCCAGCTGTGATCTGTACCCCATGCTACAGAGGAAGGCGAAAAACCTCCAGGGTCTCTGCCAATCTATTCTGGAAGAAAATTCCTTCCCGACCCCAAATATGGCGATCAGCTAAACCCTGAGCATGTGGGCAAGACTCACCAGCCAGACACCCAGAAAGTTCTCAATAGTAACTCCTATCATCCCTTCATTGACATATTTCCCACTGATAATGAAACCTGTAGTAGGCACTCTGACTATACAATGGTGGAACCCAGAAGAAAATCTAAATCAGAGGTAAATGATTTTTCATTGTGGCCTGTGTTTATAGTGGTGTTTCATAGACTAACTACCTTCCCCCATTTGTTGGAAGGACATTAGCGATAATTGACTGGAGTATTGACTATTATTCCCCCACCCCCGCCGCCTCTCAGAGAGGCAGCAAGGGGGGGGGTGGGGTGGGGTGGCGGGAGCAGGAGTGGGTGCTACCTTAAAAGCCGGTTCCCCCCAACACTGTCTCTGCAGTGCTGCCCTGCCCCCCCTGCTGCTTCTATCAGAGGCACTGGGGGGAGGGGGCAGAGAGGATAAGGGAGACTGCAGCCCCTGTCTGCAGAGGTCCCAAGGGGGAGCTGAACCACCCCAGGTACAGTCCCTGCACAGGTGCTCCTCTGGCAGCAGCCCCTGGCCGTGGCCAGTCCTGTCCACCATGAACAAAGGCTGCTCCAGCAGCAGCCTTTATTGGCAGCAGACAGGCCCGGGACACCATGCCTCTGCATTTTAACTGTAGTAAGAGTCCAGCGAATCTTACTACATTTAAAATGCAGAGCTGCAGCGCAGGTGGCTCCTAGAACCGGCACAAGCTGGGACTGCTCAGTCCCAACTCAAGCCAGCTCCTGAAGCTACCCCCCATGAAGCTCTGCAGAGCGGTCCTTACTGACTACACGACTAGCCAGATAACAGCAATTTAATGTCCTTAATTTGTTGTCACAATATCCCAGTAACAACTATACCAATTGCTTACAGAGGGGTAGGGAAACTAGGTGTAGCCCCCAGCTTATCTGGATATGGCCCACAAAGTTCAGGGCTCCCCCCGATACCCTCCTGCAGTGGAGCTTCTCACTTGTGTGTGGCCTCCAACTCAAAAAAGGTTCCGCACCTCTGACTTACATGGATAAAATATATTAGGAGTCCAATACAAATTAAAATTTCATGCAGCTGGAAGTGAACACTATCTGGACTACAATAGTAAGCAACTGTTCAGAGGCAGGACAGTGCCCCTAAAAAGGCCAAATTTCAATGCATCAGAAACAAATTACACAACAACACTTCTCAATCCAATAGATGTGCTTTGTTACTGCAGGCTGGTTAGAGAGAAAGGAAAATACATTTTAAACATATGGATGCATTCTGAGAAGCCATAACATGACTTCTGTCATAGGAGCTCTTAAACAAGGTAAAGACTAGGAGTGGCTGACCTTTTATTTCTAATCCTAAATTTCAAGCTCCAACTTTTATGGTCTCTGTAGTTCTGTGAGCAAGGTTGTCTTTATCTTTTGTCACACTGATAAGTTCATTTTAAAATTAGTCACCCTTGATGCATGAAAGTCAATAGCTGACTAATATGGTGGCCTTAAAGCAGTGGTCTCCAATCTTTTTACACCCAAGATCACTTTTTAAATCTCAGAACAGGCAAAGATCTACTGCCCCGCCCCTTCCTTGAAGCCCCACCCTCTCTATTCTCCTCCTGTCCATCACTTGCTATCCCCAGCCCTTACTTACACACTCTGATAAACAGTTTATTTTTAAATTATGCGATACATAAAATTCAAATCAGGTGTTTATAGTTATGAAATAAATGGTCTGGTTTTTATTCATGCTATTTAAAACTAAAATGAAGCATTTATAATTATACATTTTGTGGGGACAGAGTTCTGTGGCTAGGGGCAGGAGAGAGGGAACAGGGTGCTGGGAGGGCAGAGGACAGGGTTCTGCAGCAGGGGACAGGGTGCCAGTGGGGACAGAGTTCAGGGAGTGGAGACAGGAATGGGGATAGAGATCGGGGAGTGGGGACGGGAATAGGGACAGAGTTCTGAAGCTGGGGACAGGAGAGTGGGGACAGAGTTCGGGGAGTGGGGACAGGAATGGGGACAGCGTTCTATGGCTGGGCCCAGAGGAGTGGGGACTGCATTCTGTGGCTGGGGAGTGAGGTGCCAGCGGAGGCAAAGAGTCCCCTGCATCTCCCTCCTCCCAGGATTCTCCCCTTCCCCCAGGGAAACCAGCCCGTGCCTGCCCCGGGGACAACCGCCCCCCCCACCCATGCAGGGAAGCACCGCGCACACCTGCCATGGGGGACCAC